GCGGGCACTGTGCCAGGCAGCCAAGTGCTCGGTGTTGGGCTTCGCCGGCAGGGCCCACACCTGTGGCTCCACTTTTCTCGCTGGGTAGCAGCAGGGAGCCCCCTGCCCAGTCTCTGGGGCCTGCCCAGCGCTGTGGGGCTGGGGCGAGGCAGGGGCTGAGCCAGTACCAAGGCAGTCGATCGGCTGCTGCCACCACCCTAGGCCAGCGATGCTCCGGCGGTGATGCAAGCTAACAGGCGTTTCGCCGGCAGGGCCCACACCTGTGGCTCCACTTTTCTCGCTGGGTAGCAGCAGGGAGCCCCCTGCCCAGTCTCTGGGGCCTGCCCAGCGCTGTGGGGCTGGGGCGAGGCAGGGGCTGAGCCAGTACCAAGGCAGTCGATCGGCTGCTGCCACCACCCTAGGCCAGCGATGCTCCGGCGGTGATGCAAGCTAACAGGCGTCCCGCCCTCCCCTGCGGCGTGCAGGGTGCAGCAGATGAACTGTCTGGGCCCTGTTAGCTGTACCCGGCCCCCAGCCCGCTGGAGGAGCATCCCCTAACTCGGCCTTGGCCACAGCCACCCTAAACAGCTCACATCAGGGGCTAAGGCAGGGACCGAATCCAGCCGCTGCCAAACGTCTGCTCTCCCCCGGGGCTTTGCTCAGCCCTGTGCCTGCCGTGCCCAGCTGGTGTTTGCATGCCCCAGTGCGGCGCTGCCAGGCCGTGCCTAGGCCCTCGGCTGAAACCAGGCCCTGTGCTGAGGTGCAGTTGTAGCTGGACGAGCCTTCACGCCGTGGGACTGGGCTCAGCCCCTCCGGCTAGCTGCCCTGTGTGATGCTGGGGGAGAGGAGGGCATGATGCGTGGCTCAGAGAGGCTCACAGCAGGCTGTGGGGGAAGGGAACAATAGAATCAGCCAAGCAAGGCAGGAGCCAAAATGTCCCGGCTTAGCTCGGTAGGGATGAGTCTGAGGCTCAGTGGTAGTGTCTGTGGCAGGGAGCCAGGCTGTCTCACCCTCCCCCTGCAGCCCACCTGTCCTGATGGCAGCCTGGGCAGCGGAAGCAGGGCTGGGCCTGGCTCCGCTTAGCCCTGCCCTGACACAGACACGATGTTCCTCTCCTCCCCCCACTGCTCCGCCCGTGCACCATACGCCCCATGCTCCCAGTGCGGCACCTTCCCAGGCTGGGTGCTGATGGCCTAAGGGGTGCAACAGCCCACAGCAAAGGGGCCTGCCCTGAGCACCCCCTCCCCCCCCACTTCCAGGACTCTGCTTAGGGGCAGCTCAGTGCTGACACCTGGGCCTCTGCCCATCACCTCTCCTCCCCCCACTGCTCCGCCCGTGCACCATACGCCCCATGCTCCCAGTGCGGCACCTTCCCAGGCTGGGTGCTGATGGCCTAAGGGGTGCAACAGCCCACAGCAAAGGGGCCTGCCCTGAGCACCCCCTCCCCCCCCACTTCCAGGACTCTGCTTAGGGGCAGCTCAGTGCTGACACCTGGGCCTCTGCCCATCACAACCCTGCTCCCGCCCATCCAGGAGGAGTCGTTCCCCCGTGCGACACACCCGCCTGTGAATCACCTGGTGCCCCAGCGATCCAGCACGTCCGTCTAACCCTGCACCAGGGAAACAGGCCCTGGGAGGGAATGATACCCTACAGGTCATGCTGCCAGGCAGCGGCTGTCAGGAACAGCACCCAGGAGTCCTGGCCTCCGTCCTCCTCCCATCTGGATGGGACCCTGGTGACTCTACTTACCGTCTGTGTGCCTGGGGATGGGAGCCAGGGGCAGGCTCCAGGGACACGGTGCCAAACATGCTACACACCCACCCGCGCGGGGCAGCAGGGGCAGGCAGGATTTTGCAGAATGTCCCCCCCTTTCTGCAACAAGCGGGACCCTGTTGGCACTTGGGACGTGACACGCGCTCTCCAGCCTGCCAGGCACCCAGAGCCCTGCGGGACTGACGCCTTGATTTCCACGACCACGTGAACAAGCCACGTGCTCCAGCACTAGTGTCGGGCACCAGGGGGACAGCCTGCTGAGTCCTCAGCACAGGGGCTTCCTTCAGGCTCCATGCCACAGCCCCTGCTTCTCAGGAGAGGCCCAAGCCAGCTGCTCCTTGTGCCCAGGCTGGATCACAAAGCAGGGGGGAAGGGAGGCAGAGGCTCCCCTGAGATGCAGCAGCCAGGGCTGGCCCCTGCTGACACAGGCTGGGGGGGGGGGAACACCCCCCACGGGGGCCGAAAAAACCCCCAGGCGTGGGCCAGGCCAGGCTGTGCACTATGAGCCTCCCAAGTTGGGGTGTCAGGTACAGCGCCCCCCAGCCAGCACAGGCACGGTTATAAATAAGCAACTTTAATCATCTGTACAAAAAACTCTCCAACTATGAAAATAACCGGTAGAAAGGAAACGCCAGGGCGGGGCGGGGCGGCGAGGTACAGTACTGCGAGTCCTGGCACGTGGCCGCCCCCATGCCGGAGCAGGAGCACGCTGATGCGGCCCCCCCGCGGGGGGTGCTGCCCACCCCAGACCTCCCCCCCCAGCACTAACACTGAGCCCTTCTGCAAACACAGCCCCAGCCCTGTGGGTAGCATGCCAGACCAAGCCAACATGGAGCCCGGGGCTCTGTGCCCGGCCCCACCCCTGCGATCGCTCTCCCCCAGGATCACCGAAGGCTGCCCCCACCTCCACCCGGCTCTTCTTTTTCCCTGAAGCCCCTTGAGCTGGTGCCCAGGGCTCTGCCAGCTGCTGATGCAGGGAGTCAGGGGCCTTCCAACGGGGAAGGGAGGGGGAAGGCCGGGGCATCAACCCGGAACTGGCTGTCTGGAGGAGGCACGGGAGAAGGCTGGAGAAATGGACCAATACTGCAAAGCAGAGAAGGTGCCACTAGAGGTCCCAGTGCCCACCCTCAGCGGCTGGGGGCATGGAGGGAAGGGCAGTGGGGCAGAGGGGCGGAGGGCAAGGGCAGGAGAAGAGCACACCCAGGCCTGTGCCGGTCCCATGGCCCATAAGACCGTAACAACAAGGGCCTGGCTGTCCCCCAGCGCCAGTGGCTCCAAGGGCGAGTGCTCAGCAGGCTGCAGAGCCTGGGCCACAGAGCGCCTGGCAGTCCCCACATGCTGGGGGCGAACTTCTAGCTGGGGCCAGTTGGACCCCACAGTGCGTGTGTGCAGGAGGCCAGGTTTCAGCAGTAGGCTGGGGAGCAAGGGCACCCCCAGCCAATGTCCCAGCCCCCATGCTCAGCCCCCAGAGCCTGCTTCGCGCCACCCCCGTAACGCTCTGCCTGCAACACCGCTCCACAGCCAGCACCCCCAGGCTAGCAAAGGGTACTACACCCATGGGGAAACTGAGGCACAGGGTCAGCGAAGTGATTTGCCCAGGGTCAGCGAAGAGAGTCCAGGCTCCCAGCGCCCTTGCCCCGGCCCCCAGTGGTAATGACAAGCCCTCCTGGCAATGAAGCAAGGAGACACGTTGGCCATGACACAGCCGCTCAGAGGGAGCAGCGGAGGCCGGGCCCAGCCGAGCAGCGGCCTTCCCGCCCCCGCGGTCCATGGCTCTCCGGCCGCGACGCTATCCAGTGGTGACCGTGGTGCCGCTGCCCAGTTTGATGATCATCTGCTGGCAGTCGTGAAGCGTCCGTTTGTCGCCCAGCTTCTCCAGGGTGCGGGCGGCCTCGGACAACATGCCTACGCGCTGGCCGGGCGCGGAGAGGAAGCTGGGCGGGAGGTAGCAGCAAGCCCTCAGCAGGGCCTCG